CGTAATTCTAAGAGTCATTGTGCTTGAGAGAAGGCAAACACATCTCATACACACGAAAGCCGAAGACAGGCCACGCAGCTTGCTGTTCATGACCTTTTTTGCATATTTCTCTGAGGCAGGAAATGCTACAAGAGGCTGGATTGTTTTCTTTGGGGATTGTTTTTGGTTGGCTGTCCTGTGGTTTTCACTGGAGGAATATCAATCAGAGTGGCCTTTGCAGGTGGGGCACTCTCACTCTTGAAAGGAATGGAGCACAGACAGCAGTCGGGGAGACAAGCGGGAAAAGCAAAGGAAGGCATCTGAGTGTACGATTGCAACATGCTGAGCCTGTTAGGAAAAAGGGCTCTGTTTTAGGCAGATATAGAATTTAATCTCAGCTGTGATGTTTATTAACTGTGAGCCTTGGCTTAGTTCAATCCTCTCTGAGCCCCACTTCCTCCTCCACAGACCACAAGTATCCACCTTATTGGGTTTTTGTGAGAACTAATTAAAATAACACCTGCTCAATGCCTGTAATACATTATGAAGCATTCAATACATTTTAAGCCATTTTAGAATGTTATTCCGAATGCGGTGGGATCCCTGTTCTCCCTTTCATTATTCTGTAACTTTGTACCAACCCTCTGAGTGTTCCTGCTCCTAATTTGTACCTACTTCCTAAAGCTGCTGGAAGGAAGGAATGGGTTTCAGAGAGGTTTCTCGACTCGTCAGAGTTCAGAACACTGGTCGGATAAAATTTCTAAACAACATATTCTCTGTGGAAGAAATAGGGAAGATGACTTACACTCTGTAGTTAGTGGACCAAATACAAGGACCAGCCTGTTCAGGTTTCCTTTGTATTCCCGTGGATGACCTTTCCTAGGCGTTTTGGTCTCCTTCACTAGTTCCTTCCCATCATGACAACTCCCAAGTGTTAGGCTCTCTCAGGGCTCAGTCCTTGGGCTTCTCACTACTCTCATTTCCAAAGGGATATTTTCTAGCCTCATAGATTTAAAAACCTATTCTCACTGTCTGCAAATTTGCACCTGCACCTGAACCTCTCCCTCCTATTCCAGACTCATATACTACCTGAATGCCTGCTAGACATCTCTACAGGAATGAACATGTTCTAAACTGACCTCCTGATTCCCCACCCTTTTGCCAAACTTGTCCTGCCTACAGTCTTCCCCAACAGAAAAGCTGGCAGTTACATCTTTTCAGCAGAGTTGGACAAAACCATGGAATCTTCTTTGATTGATCCCTTTCTCGCCCATTGCACGTGCACTCCAATAGCAGGTCCTGTCAACTTTACCTTCAATCTGCATCCAGACCTGGCCATTCTCAATGCCTCTCCTGTTACCACCCTAGTTAAAGCTATCACCCTGAATTGTAGTAAAAGCTCCTTACATACTTTCCTGCCTTCCATTCTTGAGTTGAAATCATCCATTTTCCACTTGGAAGATAGAGTGATGATTCGAAACTTAAGACAGATCATGTCATTCCTCCCAGACTTGCCAGTGTTGCCCATCTCACTCAGGAAAGAAGCCAAGAGGCCCCTGCAGGACCTGATCTTCCACCAGCACGTGTATCTTTCTCATTCTCCCCAATATTTACTCCATTCAAGCACTGCTGGCTTCCTTGCAGCTACTCCTCCATGACAAACATGCTCTCACATCAGGATCATTGTCATTTCTTTTCCTTTTGCTTGCAATGAGTATCTAGGTGGCTGACTCCTTACTTCTTTCGGGCATCTGCTTAAATATCACTTAGAGGTGTGGTGTTCCTAGATCGCAATAAATAAATAAAAAACTTTGGCCACCACAATCCATGATGCCCTGTATCTTACTTCACATTTTCTCATTTTGCTTATTGTTGTAATGTATCTTGTATGATACTTGATGTTATTATATTTATTTCTCCATCTGCCTCCCATCATTAAAATGTATGTAAGCTCCACAAAAAATGAAGTTGTTGTTTTGTTTTATTGCTTCATTGCTAACACCTAGAACTGTGCCTGGAAGATGAATCAGTGAATAAAACATATAGCATTTTATAATTATGTGTTATATCTAAAATATGTGGACCCAAGTATATTTCTTAAAAATACCTGGCCAGCCTAAAAGAGCCATCAAATGCTCAATCAAATGGTGAAGACACCAATCCCCTTTTTGTGCCCTAACCTGAAGAAGATACGTTGGAGCCACATAAATACCAGAAGAGAAAATACCAGCGTGAAAGTCAAAAAAGTAAGAGAAAGGCATCTACTTTTAAAACCCACATATTCTGTCTATGGTGACAGTAGTCTGAGGAAGGGAAATTGAGTTCTTGTGAAGAACCCAAGGATTGCTCCCATGCATTCTCAGGCCCAAACTGCTGTTTGTGAAGGAAAGGAATTATTTTTTTTCCTTCAAATCTCTGTAGGCAAGATTATTTTTAGTCTTCTTGTACCATATTTCTAGGAAACCCAATAGGAGCAGACATTTAAAAGGAAAAAAATGAGATGACATTAGTTTTCCACAGGGGCTATTAACCTCCTGAGAAATTTAATATGAGTGGGAAATAAGGATAAAATGTTTCATCTGCAGATGAAATCTTTCAACTCTCCTAAATAAAAATGCTTTAAAAAGCCAACAAAAGTAATAAATCAAACATGGGACAAATCAAGAACACAGGAGCAGAATTAGATTTTTCAGGACAACCCTATTGGGAATTATCAACAATCCAGATGTTCTTGGTCATCTGCACTTATCAATGTACTTAGGATTTGGGACTGGTCACTTAGTTTAGCTATATGGGAAAATTTTTTTGAGGATCAGAAACAGAGGGGAGACACTGATAAAATGCATCATTGACACAAAAATTATTTTAATGAAAACAAAGTCACTTTCTGGTGCCTACTTAATCATGATAGGTAGAATTAAAAAAATATATTGCCCCAAGATTCCCATTCTAATTCCCAGAACTGTTAATATTATGAGATTTCAAGCCTATAGATATGATATATTATATTACAAAGGGACTTTGCAAATGCAATTAAGGTTACTAATCAGTTGATCTTAATATAGGGCAGTGATGGCGAACCTATGACACACATGTCAGAGGTGACACGCGAACTCATTTTTTTTGGTTGATTTTTCTTCGTTAAATGGCATTTAAATATAAAAAATAAATATCAAAAATATAAATCTTTGTTTTACTGTGGTTGCAAATATCAAAAAATTTCTATATGTGGCACGGCACCAGAGTTAAGTTAGGGTTTTTCAAAATGCTGACACACCGAGCTCAAAAGGTTCACCATCACTGATATAGGGAGTCATTCTAGATTACCTAGGTGAGCTGAATCCAATCAATAATTCCTTAAGAGCAGAGAGTTTTCTCTGGCTAGTGACAAAAGGGAGAAGTCAGAGAGATTTGAAGTACTAGAAGGATAGGAAGTGTCATTGCTGAGACAGAGGAGATCATGTGACAAAGAATGCAGGAGGCCTCTGGAAGCTGAGAGCAGATCCTCTCTGACAGTCAGCAAGGGAACAAAGATCTCAGTTTCAAAACCACAAAGAATTAGATTCTACCTAAAACGTGAGTGAATTCTTCCCCAGGTTCTCAAGATAAGAACTCAGCCCAGCAGATACCCTGACTTGGCCTTTTGAGACCCTAAGCAGAGAACCAAGTTGAACTCACCCTGACTCCTGGCTTATAAAAATGTGAGATAATTAATGTGTGTACTTTCACGTTGCTAAATTTGTGGTAATTTGTTATTTAAAAGGAAAATTGATACAAACTTAGAGAACCAAGTAAAGCACAAATAGATTTTTCAGAAATAGGTGCTTCCTAAATTCCAGTCTATTTAAAAACATTTTTAAATTACCCTTTTTTCTTTTGTCTAATCCTACCAAAGCATAGCTACATGTGTTGCTTAATATTTGTTGCTAGAGTCTTTTTCCTACAATCAGATCTTTTCTTGACCCTGACTACATGAAAAACATCCAGAGAGTGAGAAGAATTCTATATGATATTCTCTTTGGAGAGCATTTGAGGAGTGAAAGTCTAATTCTGAGAAATACTCCCAATTCCATGTCTGTCACTCCCTATTTCTCCCTTTTCTCCACATAAACCAGGTGTTTATTACTCTCAAGTTATTCTGTGGAAATCATTCTGCTTTTATTCTCTACAGTGAGAATAAATGAGAAATCCCCACCCAGACAACCCTCCCTTAGAGAGGGCGGTCACTTTCTCACATTCCAGTCCTACCCAATCTATAGAAAATACTTAGTACATGTTGTCACTCTATTCTTGCACCAATGTATTATACCACTAAATCAATAAATTTATTGATTTGGGTATTTGGCATGTTTCTTGTTATATCCAAGTACAGCTTCAGATTCTATCAAAAGCCCTTTAGGCATCTCCTAGTTAAACATATGGCACACTAGATGATATTGACTTCACATTTTTTACCACATCCATCCACTACTGCCACCTTTCACGTTTCACCATTAAAAACACACACACCCAAACAAACTCAACTTCTTAAAGTGAATAAGAAAATAATCTCATTAAAACATGTCAATGTATCACTAGTGTATTTTTAAAAAAGAACTGCATCTAAGAGTAGAGATCTATTTTTGGAGAGATTATAGGTCATGTGACAAAAAAAGTACACAGAAATATGAGAAAATGGCTTGGTGTAGCCATCCTAAGAACGTTATAAGAAAACTTTCAAGTTACTGTCTATATCTCCATCTGTTTTAATAACAAGGGGAGGGAATAAATATAAATGATTGAGCTTTGCGTGTGGCATATTGGGCTTTTTTTTTTCCTTTCTGTCATCAAGGTGGAGTTCTAAGAAAGTGAATACAAGTGAATCTAATATGGGAGCCTAAGGACAATTACTCTAAACGTAAATATTCAACCTTTAATGTCATTTGCCATGCAGATAGTACCCCTCTTCTTTTATCCAAGAGTGGATCTAGGTGACTACCTTGCTAACTAACAATGGTTATTTGGTGTGTTTCTTACTCTAGGAAGCTTATGTCAGTTTCCACCCCCATAAATTTGGAAAATGCTACAGAGACCTCCTGCAGGAAAACAGCTGAACTATACTTACCCAGAGAGAAAGATCCGGATGACTGCATAAAATATGTCTGGATCTACATTATCTGGAGGAGCAATCAAAATGTGAACTTTACTACAGGCGAAAAGAGCAATTGGTTACATGTGCATGGGCCCTGCTGAGCTCCTGGGGCTGCTTCTCTATCTGATCTGCATGGAAACCTGGAATGAAAGCTACAAGCAAGAGGTGGATGGAATGTTCTCCTCTGTAATTGTCCTCCTTGGCGCTTGCAGAACTTTTAAACTATTCCAAATGCTGCCCTTTTCTATTTGTGGTACTTCCCCTTTCTCTACTTAACAACAACAAAAAGAAAGATCAAGGCCATCTTTTTAAAAATTAATAATCTGAACAGACATGATGTTTGAGAGAATATGGGAAGTGGAAAGGCGAAGGCAGAAAGGAAGAATCACCTCTCTCGGGGCTCTCACAAGAGAGGGAAACTAAAGCCACCTCTGCTCAAGTGGAGGTCTGTATTGCCCACGAAGGACAGAGGACTGGAGCGTCCCCTGTCCGGCTGGGGATTGCCACACCAGGTCAAATACAGATTCATTTAGCTCCACATTTAGCTGCATTCAGTAAGTTGTGCAGCTATTTTGAATCTAAGCCAATGCTTGTGGATAACTGATTTCACTAGATAATAAAATTATACATAAGGAAGCAAGTTTCCACATTTGTAACAGATTTCTTTTAATCAACTTTTGAGGATTGTTCTCTTTCTTCATCTAATGGGGCCCCTCTGTGACTAAGCATGCTCTCTTATGCATATCCCTGTCTCTCTCTCTCTGTTTCTGAGAGGGGGAAAAAACACATCTCTTTTTACGATACCTAAATAATGACATCTCTATACCATCAGTTTTTCTTTTGCTACCATCACACCTACTCTCTGGTCCTCCATCTCTTGTTTTTTTCTGAAGCCCCATGACTCAGGTAACTAATGTCTGCCTTCAGCCTCAGGGTTTCCCAGTGCTCCTGATGGTGTTACAGTCTCTCGTTCTTCTGTGACAATCTTCTTCTGGACTTTTTTTCTGGGTGATATTTCTGGGTCTTATCCATTTGGTGCGCTTTGCCTCCCCCTCCCAAATGCTAAATAATAGGTACACATTTTTCTAAATCAGTAATGACTGGCAATAATTTTTCACCCAACTTACCATATTTAATGAGGAAAAGTCAAATGATCATTTCAATAGATGTGAAATGATTTTGATGTAAAACATTTCAATATGTGTGAAAAAAATCCATTCATGGTAAAAAATAAAGCAAAATGATTTAGCTAATTAGGAATAGTAGTACTCATTCTTGAATTGATAAAAGGAATCCATAAAAAGTCTCCAGTATACATTATACTTAATGTTAAAATATAAAAAATAAGTATTTTAAAATGTGAAACAAAACAAGGATCAGCCTTTCCATTTAATACTGTATTGGGAGGCCTAGCAAGAAGAATGAGAAATAAAAATTAAACAGAAATACAAGCTATAAGTATTGTAAATGAAGAAAAAGCGAATAAAATATTATTCTCAAATGACTTCTCTATAGAAAACCCAAATAATCTCCACATAATTATTACAATGAATAAGAGTGTTTACCAAGGTACTATATTTAAGGTTAATATTCAAATATCAATTTTATTCTATAAATTAGCAACAGTCAAGGAAATGCAGGAGTGGCAACATTATCATAGTGGAATAAGAATTTCTACTGTCTTTTGCCAATGAATGCTGATTTACACGGTCACCCATGGACCAGAGAGCGTTTGTGGAAATCCAGGAGTCCAGCAAAGCCCCAGCACGCCACTACAGTAAAAATAATAATAATAATTTGAGGATATTGAATGCACTAAAGGGAGTAAGAAGAGCATTTCACTTTACCTACATCACCCACCCCTCAAGGAGACATAGCTCAGGACCAAGAGACCTTATTGGCCTGTGACTTGTCCCACAAGGAAAAGTAAGAGCGTGTGAGTGAGTGCCCAGCTTCCCAAGCTGCATGGAATGCATCCGAGACCCACTTCTTTCTCACCACATCCAGATTACTAAGGTGAGCTTCAGGACTGAGAAACTGGGTGGGTGGGGGAATGAGGAGCAGCTGTGAGAGTGCCAGATAGGGCTCTTGGAAGGTATTAAAGGGATGCAGATCTTACTGACCATCTCACGGACTCTGACAAGATACCCTCCCAGGAGCTGATGGGGATGCTGCCCCTGTAGATCCCTCAACTGGCCTATGGGCACCCCTAGTGTTCAGGGTGCCTTACCCACATGCCACACACCCACATGTGGCCACTTCCTTGTGTGCATAGCAGAGGAAGAAAAGAGTGGGTATATATACACTAGAGGCCTGGTGCACAAAAATTTGTGCACTCGGGGCGGAGGGGGAAGGAGGGGGGTTCCCCAGCCCGGCCTGTGCCCTCTCAAAGTCTGGGATCCCTCGGGAGATAACGACCTGCTGGCTTAGGCCTGCTCCCAGGTGGCAGAGGGCAGGCCCAATCCCTAGGTGCAGCCCCCTGTCATGCACAGAGCAGGGCAGATCGGGAGGTTGCGGTGCCACCCGCTGTCACGCACAGAGCAGGGCCGATCAGGGGGTTGGGGCACTGCCCCCTGTCACTCACAGAGCAGGGCCAATCAGGGGGTTG